AAAAAAAAAAAAAAATTACAGAGACAGTGACCTGGGTAAGAGCAGATTTTTAGATCCAAGAGACAAAATTTCCTTCAACTTTGATCATGTACGGAAAGAAGGAAGTGACCCCAGCCAGGGGACATAAACGGAGGTCTGAAATCTTGGAGAGAGTCCTGTGACAGTGCTGTACGAGCCTATGTGAGAGATTGTTATTTCAACAGATTTTTAAAAAATAATTATTTTTTTTATTTAACTTTATTTATTATCATCATCATTTTCCAGTTTGACCAGAGAGAGAGAGAGAGGGAAAGTGAGAAAGCAAGCCACCAGGTCTGGGACCTGAACCGTGGTCAGCCATATGGGAGTCCAGCACCTCAACTACCACACCATTTGCCGGCACCTTATTCCAACAGATTCTGTACTGTTTATGCTAGGACTATAGATGGACAACGAACCATCACTGCATGTATGGAAATCCACCAGGTTCAGCCAAAAAACTTCTGGAATGGTCACTGGAGATCAGAGTGGAAGTTCACCATCACATCACCTATAGCACCTACAGCAGGTGGTTGGAGTGCTTACAATTCAGGCTCACTGTTATGAATTATTTATTTTTTAACTATTTAATTTTATTTATTCATTCATTTATTTTAATTTGACCAGAAAGAGACAGACAGAGAGGGAGAGAAAGTAGGAAAGCAAGCCACCAGGTCCAGGACTTGAACTGTGGTCGGCCATGTGGGAGTGTCCAGCGCCTTAACCACCACACCACCTGCTGGTCCCCCCAGGCTCACTGTTATAAAGATGGTAACCGTTCAGTTGGTTAGTCATGAAGAGGTACAGGATTCAGTAACTGTTTCGAATGAAGTCCAGACTGCCCAGGAGTTTATTAAAATCATAGCGAATGCAGAAAATGATATCAGACAGCAATTGGTGAAAACTATCAAACAATGTCGGAAACCACATTCAAGGCATTGCGCCAGCAGCTTCCAGTTACCCACACCGAAGTCGGCTGGAACAAGATACTCAGCCACAAGACTGGCAAAGAAATGCAGAATGCTTAGAGGAAGAAAGAAAGAAATGAGCGAGGTAGGATTCTTCGATATATGGAAAGAAGAGGATTCAATGCCAGCACATGGTCATGAGATAAATAGTGACTTACGAACGAGTGATATTTTGCTAGGGCTTTCAAAGTTAACAGGTTTTTTAGCCTCATAAAAATTTTTTGTTTTGTTTTGTTTTGAGAGGTTTTTGCTATAGGGTGCATGCGCTGGCTAGAGAGACAGAGAGACAGAATGCTAGAAATCACCCCCCAGGGGAGATGGCCACGCTGCAGTCCCTTCTCCTCAATTTTCCTCTAGGGATCTTGGGCATGCACACACATGCACCTGGAGTGAGTTTAAGCCACTAGGTTCAGGACTCCCACCGTGGCCAACTACGTTGGGAGTCCAGTGTCATAGCCATTAATGCCAACTGCAGGTCCCATGAAGTACTCCTGAACCTATAGTGTTGTCTAGATTCTTTTGTGTTCTCTGCCTTGTAATTTTCTGTTACCAAGGTATCTATTTGTAAGTCTTTTGTTGTTAATTTTGCTACATTTAATGTTGGAGAGATCAATTGATCCTTGTGTCATTTTACTGTTTAGAAATGGGGCTAGTAAGTGGTGTGGTGGTTAAGGGCACTGGACTCCCAAATAGCTGACCGCAGTTCGAGTCCTGTACCCAGCAGCTTGCTTTCTCACTTTCTCTCTGTCTCTCTCTCTTGCCCTTCCTGTGTCCCTCCCTGGTCAAATTTAAATAAATAAAGTTAAATTAAAAAAAAAAAAAAACTTTTTCAAAAAGAAAGGAAGAAAAAAATGTTCCTAGCCATGAAGTCCTGTTACTGATTGAGACAGGTAATATGCTCCGTACTTCTCTACCCCTATCCTTTAAAGCACTTCTGGTCCTTGAATGGCTTTTACTGATCCACCAATGGCTACCGAAGAAACGCTGCAAAGTACAGCTAAGTGGAAGACAGGGCCATCCTTTCCCCTCCATCTGTCTTGATCATCACTTATAGCATCTCACAGCTGTAGTTTTCAAAAGTGTGGAGTTTTCAAGTCCTTGATGGGATGAGGGGGTACAAAGGAAGTTTTCTGGTAATTCCAGTGTAGCTAGCTTCTCTGAGGAATTTGTTTTTAAATCCGACCACACAAATCACATGCCCTGCACGCTTGCTTTGTTTCCCTTCCCTCACTGTCTCCTCCCACTCTAGTACATCGTCGTTAATGTTAATAGACATTTGCATTTTTTTAGAGTTTTATCCGTTTATGTTTTTTAAAATTTTTTTTAATTTTCAAGAACTGCTGCGACCAGCAGTTAGCGTAATGGCTATGTTGCTGGACTCCCACATAGTCGACCACCGTTTGTGTCCCGGACCCGGTGGCTTAAAATACGCCGGGCGCATTTGCGTGCATGCCCAAGATCCCGAGAGGAGAATGGAGAAGGGCCTGCAGTGTGGCCATCCCCCCTGGGGGGTGATTTCTCGCTTTCTGTCTCTCTGTCTCTCTGTCTGGCACACACCCTATAGCAAAAACCTCTAAAAACAAACCAAACTGTTGGCATACTGTGTATGTTATAGAGCATAAAACCTGAAAAAGGGGACCAGCAGTTGGCATAATGGTTGTGTCGCTGGACTCCCATGTAGTGGACTGCGGTTTGAGTCCCAGACCCAGCAGCTTAAACTCCCAAGATCCCAGGAGGAGAATGGAGAAGGGATTGTGGTGTGGCAATCCACCCCACCCCCACCCCACCCCTGTGATTTCTCGCTTTCTGTCTCTCTGTCTTTTGGGCAAGTGCACGCACCCTATAGCAAAAAAACTCTCAAAGGAAAAAATAAATTTAAAAAAAAAAACTTGAAAAATGAAGATATGGAAGGAATACTCGGTGCCTTGTGCTTTAATATTTTGTGACAGGATGTACTATAAACAAATGAATCAAATAGCTACGTAAATCACAAAAACTAAAAATGAACCAAAGTGAAAGGGTATCTTCCAGGTGTCTTTCTATTGTAACCTGTTATTTAAGAGAATACCAGTCATTTCTTTAAATAGGATATAAAACTTGTTTTAAATTACTCATCCTCATTCCTGCCTGCCAAGAACTCAAGTAATTGTGATAAAGCAGTCCTTTCCAGGTATATTGGCAGGCATGTATGGGATCTCTGAATACACGGGTGACAGATATGCTGTGACAGGCTGTGACAGCTGATAATGGTGGATTCATTTACATTGTTTCCACTTCTATGACCAGGCCTTAAGGGTAGGTTAATTTTTTTAAAAAAACAAGTAATGTCTTATCTCCAAATACATGTCAAGAAAGAAGAGTATCATGCTTTAGCTGTTTCTGCTCAGTAATACTTGACTGTACTTGCACAAGTTTGTTTCCAAGTAACCCATTGAGCTGTGTAAGCATTTTTATTTCAAACAAAATATACCTGTATTATTTGCCATTCATATTACCCACCCACCACACACTAACCTCCTGTATCAGAGACAAAAGAAATATGCTTCTTTAAAAGAACTTTTAACAATTATTTGTGATTTGAGCATTTAAAATCACTACTACATGTGCAGGTGCGGGTTTTTTATCAGACACCATGAACATTCTGCCCAAGGCTCTCAACTTATTACAACCACGGAAGTTAAACCCCAACTCAAGAACAAAACCAACACGTCAAGTCTCCAAACTACTAAAACCCTAATAAGGATAAAAAGAAGAAACAAACATGATAACAAAAACACTCAGTAGTTTAGTAAGACTCAAAGCCTAACAGTTCTCACAAACAGAAAAAGGATTGATCGTCAGGAAGAATCAGATAGGAGTAATCAGGGTGTTGCAAGTCCTGATTACGCAGAGACGCTAATCACGTATCATGCGGACTCCAATCATCATGTTCTATCTGCCCTCCCGAAGGAGGAACAGGTAAGGATTATCCCACCTGACGATAAAAAAGATTGAACTGCCAATCCGTACTCAGAGGAAAACAATCCGCTATAGACTAGGGCGAGTTTGTAACAAGTAAGTCTGAACTACCCTGTTGTATACAGTTTTTCTTATTGTACTACTACACTTATTTGCAAATATTTTAAATGTTTTCTTTCCCATTCCGGTACGGAGAAAATATAAACTAATTACTCCCAGGATGCTCCATTCCCTTACGTGCAGGGACGCTAGCCTTACACGCTATGTATTTACATATCCCCGCCCACCTCCTCCGGCCAGCTTGCTACCGTAATAACCAGAATAGAAGCAACCTAGTATTTTACTGTCTGCAGGCCTGGAAAAGTTTTCCTTTTTTTGTTTTTCGTTTTTCTTGAGATATTTTTGCTATTGGACGCATAGCGCACCGGAGTGACTGAGAGAGACAGACAGAAAGTAAGAAATCACCTCCCAAGGGATGGCCACGTTGCAATCTTCTTCAGTCTCTGGGGATTTTGGGCACACCAGACACGCGCCCTGCATGTTTCAAGCCCCTGGGTCTGGAACCGCTGTCCACCACGCAGGAGTCTAGTACCTACCTACTATGACACCTGCTGGCCCCTGGAAAAGTTTTTCTTCGTTTTAGTAGTTTGGCCACCCCAATTGTCCTTTGAAAATCGTGTAAGTCTTACTACAAAATAAACTTTATTACAAAGCACACAATAAAACACTGATAATCCCAGACTCAGGAGATAACTATTCCAACAATGATATTCTCCACCAGGAAGTTTCAGAGGTGAGGGCTGAAGCCCACACCTTCCTTTTCCGGGAACAGTAAGCAGCCCCTTGCTCCTCCAGCCTTCGTCCCTTCATTCTCATCAGGGTGATCAGAAAGGTTTCTTTTTCAGTCCAAAGACAGCGACGAATAATGCCATTTCAGTGGCAGCTGGGAAGGCACTGCAGAAGATAGGTAACAGGCTCAGGGACCCTTACAATATGAGTACAAACCGGAGATCCCCACCTTCAAAATTTAACAGGATGAAAATTTAATGGAGGTGTGTGTGTGTGTGGAGGGGGAGATGAAACTTTGAAAGACTACAAGATGTTGAATGGATCTAGTATCTTACACATTTAAGAAAGGGCTAGGTGGGGGGAAACCTTCAGATTTGGGATAAACCTTCTCCAAATTTTGGGTGTTACCGCACCTGCAGAACACAAAAATATACCAGTACGTCGTGCACTCCCAACGCTCGAAAATGAAGAAGGACAGGGCCACAGACGCACTACAGTGAGCCCCAATGGCTTATGGATGCACCAGTCAAGGAAAGTCTTTGGACCCACAGGTAGTACCGAGCCAGGAAAGGCAGAGCTGGGGTTGCACCTTCACTCAGGTGCCTCTCTTGCTGCCTCACTACATTACAAGGGCTAGAGCCGGAGTTTCAGGGTAGCTATGTAAGCAGGAGCCAGAGCTGAGTCTGCACAGAAGGGGACCCCAGGCTAATCCTGTTCCCTGTCTAGGGGCCAACCCAGTCCCTTCACTTAAGATAAGAGGAGGCTCCCAACCTCCCCCAGGCCACACAGGAAGGCTGATAGCCACTTGATACTCTGCTAGAATCACCTTCCGGTGCCTTGGTCCTCCTGGTCCACAATTCAAGAATCAAGATGCTTCCTTGATCCAAGAGCCTCAGTCGATCTGGCTGGCCTGAGCTCTCTCTCGCAGAGCGCACTGAATTACAGATGTGCGCCTGCCTCAAGGTAGAAAACTGTTCTATGCTCAGTGTAGCATCTCCAGCGCCCCGTGCACAGCAAGACTGACCCCCTATTTGAAGACTGTATTAACACCTTCCCCACCACCTAGAAGACCCCTGCCCTGGAGAGATTGCCGCTGAGCAGACACTACTGGGCAGAACGGCGCACCTAGGCAGGCGGCAGAAGGGAGTCATGATGGAAATGGGGGTGAGGGAAAGGCGGGCAGGCAGAAGGATACAGATGAGACTCTGGGTGCTGTTGAACATGGAAACTCCCGAGAGGAAGCCGGCCAGCTCCACGGCAAAGAGCCCCAAAGTGACAGAGAGCGCTGCCACCAGCCTGCAAAGACGAAGGGGGCTCAGGCCTTCGCTCAAAGGCGTTCTCCTAAGACCCCTCTACTCCCAGGCCTCTTGGTTCCCACCACCCCGAGCGCTCACTGGATGTCCTGCCGCTCGTACTCCTCGGGGGTGAACTTGAGGGGCAGGCAGGCCTGGACGTTGCTGTCCTGGGGAGCCGGGCAGAGGGA